AAAATACGACCAGATAACATCAATCATATTAAATTTCAACAGCAACAAAAATTAAAATGGATAGCATTTATTAAAGAAAAAAATCTGATTTTCAAATGTTAAGATTCGATTATAACTCAAACAAGTAAAAATCAAAATTCAAAATAATAAAACAACAAACTGAAAGAACATGAAATAATAAAAACATATTTTCCTGAAAAATTGATTTAAGAGAAAAGATTTATATATGTAAACCGATAGTAGCAATGGCTGCTCGGTAAATGAATGCTGAATGTTTCCGTATAAGGAAAAGGATAATATTAATATTTCATTATAAATAATCATTTTATAACTATTGGCTTTATTATATATATATATATATATATATATATATATATATATATATATATATATATATATATATATATATCAAAAAAAAAAAAAAATTTGAAAAATTTTTCCATGGATTCATCGGACTGGATGAAAAGCATCACAGAAACATTTTTCCAATTTGTCATACTATTTTTCTCAATACTGTTTCTTGATATATAAAATTATATTTCGTTATATCATATATATATATATATATATATATATATATATATGTGTGAAATTTGTGTGAAAAAAATTGGATTAGTCTTCAAAATGGCCACAATTTTATTTAATAGTATCTAATGAATATGGAAAAAGGATAAAATGAGATAAAACTTGTTTTATTAATCACGTTATAATAGGCACCCTAAAATATCCTTATATAACTATACGTATCATTATAACACCAGGCTACCCAGTCGGTGGCGCCGTCGTTAGCAAGCTAATTTCGATTCTCATTAGGTATGCTATGTTTATAGTTTTCTCTCCTCTAGTTTAACCTTAGTAACTATCTATAAAAAATCTCTTTCTGTCTTTCCTTTTTCTCTATATGCCGAGACCTTTCAGGTTGTGAGCAATCATAATTTTCTTCTGCTTTCTTCCTTTGGACGTTATCAGCAATAATTTCTCGTTTATGGCCACCTCCTTCCTTTCCCTTTGTCTAAGGACAGTGCAGTTTTCTCAAACTTGTCATGTATGTTGCTGGTGATTGTATTCGATGTATTTTTAAATTCTCATCATAAGTCTTAGAACTCACTCTGCCCTGCCATTTAACCCACAGCTGAAATGTAGGATTCATACCTTTTCCAAGGGTATCAGTGCGAAAGTGAACGCAACAGACTAGACCGGAATTTGAACTCGATTCTTGATTACATTTTCCTCGTAGATACACTCGAGAATTCACAAAATGAACTTGCTAACCATCGTGTTACCCTAAATTTATTTTAGTAATCCCAGATTAGTTTGGCACAATAACATATTGGTGTGAGAAAGAGGATTTTGTGGTAACTTTTCAAATGGGAAATGGCTTTCCTGCTTCGAAAAATTGTATCTGAGATCTGAATTTTATCGAGGTTCGAACAGCGAGCACTGGCTATGCTGGGCATTAAATATTTCTCTTAACCATCAAGCAAACCTTTATTTGTTTAATCATATAGCGTAATTATTTTCGTCATTTTTATTATTTACACTATTTACATTGTTCTGGCTGTCGTCTTCACCTTTGTTGCCATATTCACAACGTTCCGGCCGGAATTTCGAACTGAATTTCGTCCACACACAACATAGATTGTTCTAGTTCCACGTGCCATGCATCTTCACATGTCTTAGTTATCTCCCTTTATTTTTATTTATTGATATAAATAAATGCTGATAACACTCATTCATAATATCCTGAATATAATGTAAATTAACAGCGAAATATATAAAAAGTTAAGCTTTCGTTTATCTATTAAATTTCTGATTATCAACAAATATGTTTTCTATCCTTTTTCTTTTTATAATATATTAACTATCAGGATTAGTTATCAGCAGACGTAAAAATAACAAAAGCTATTCAGAATTGAAAATAGCATAATCAAAGAAAGCAAGAAAACAGAATTGATTCTTAATTGTAAAAAATCAGAAGGCATGGTATTTCGTTGAAAAGGACACTTAAATTTGGGAATTACAAATCATTAATATCAAAATTAAATTTATGTCAAATAAATGTTATATATCAGGTCATTCCATAAGTTCTGTCCGAATTTTAACTTTTTGTTAAAATGAACGAAATTTAAAGAGTATTTTATAATGTCTAATGGAGCTGAACATTATTTTTATGTTTAGATGCATTTAAACTGATCAAATTTTATTTCAGAGAACAATAAAATTAAATTTTGTTTGATTAAAACCCTGCTAACATGGAAGTACCCAAGAATCATTTGAGGCACATAATGCTTTATGAGTTCAAGAAAGGAAACTCAGCAGCCGAAGCGGCTAGAAACATTCACTCAGTTTATGGAGAGGAATGTGTGAATGAAAGAACTTGCAGAAGATGGTTTGCAAAATTCAGAGGTGGAGATTTCACCCTTGAAGATGAAGATCGAACCGGACGTCCAGTTGAGTTTAATGAAAAGCTTGAAGCAGCCCTTGAAGAAAATCCTGCTTTATCAGTTGAGGAATTGGCAGTGGTTCTCAGTTCAAACCATACAACTGTTCATCGTCATCTTCAACAACTTGGAAAAGTTCCTAAACTTGGAAAATGGGTGTCTTATGAATTGTCTGAAAACAACCTCAAATCCCGAGTTGACATCTGCTCTTCTCTCCATTCTCGCCAACTTGTTTCAAATAGACTTGTGACTGGCGACGAAAAAAATGGATCTTTTATCGAAATGTTAAGCGTCGTAGACAGTGGCTTGGTAAAGGGAAGGACCCCAGCCACAGCCGAGAAGGAACTTCATGGACAAAAGGTTCTTCTTTCAATCTGGTGGGATCGCCAAGGAATAATCCACTTTGAATTCTTACCACCTAATGCAACAATTAATGCTCAAATATACTGTCAGCAATTAGAGCGTTTTTGAACCAAGCTTTGAGGAAAAAAAACGACCTGCTCTAGTGAATCGAAAAGAGGTGATGTTTCATCAGGACAATGCGCGACCCCACACTGCAAGAATCACGTCACAAAAGATCGAAGAACTTGGTTGGGAGAAAATTCCTCATCCACCTTATTCTCCCGATCTTGCTCCTTCAGACTACCATTTGTTTCGTAGCTTACAGAATCATTTGGAAGAAACAGCTTTTGTAACACAGGAAGAGGTTAAAACTGACATTTGTGAGTTCTTCGAATCAAAGCCAAAAGAATTTTACAGTAATGGAATTAGTAAGCTTGTTAATAGATGGAAGGATCTCATAGATAATCAGGGAAAATACATTGTTGATTGAATCTGTAATTAAATGTATCATTTGGTCACTTGTTTTCTTTATTCAAAATTCGGACAGAACTTATGGGATGACCTGATATTTGGACATTGCAATAATAGATGACAGTGAAATTTGAAGACGCATAAGAATAACGAAAGATGAATGTCAGGAACTGTGTAATGTTCTTCGGGATCGAGGAATAACAGAAACGAAGATGAGTGCTGAACTGCGATTTGATGTTTTCCATCATTCATGACAATGAAAGCTAGACATTTTCGTAAGTAATGAAAAGAAGACTTGCAACAACAGAGATATGGTTCTAGCAGCGAGCGTTGAAAATTCCATGAACAGAACACATGACAAATGAGAAAGTTTTATGACGAATAGAAAGTATGAAGAAACTGTCGATAACAATCAGAAAGAGTCACTTTAGGAAAATAGAAACTCTAATTCAAAACCGGTTGAGCGTTGGGTTTACCGTAAAAAACGTTTAATCATTATCTCTATTTCTTATCCTCATAATCTTCAGTTCCAGCCACCTCCTTTTCCATTCATGTCACATCTCATTCATCATAATCGTTTTAACAGTAGCCCTTTACATTGAGTTGCTCTCGAGCCTTTCATCGGGTGATATTGGAAAGTTTTAATAGTGAGATATAATGAAACAAAAGTCTTGAAACAATGTATTAAGATTCAATAAAGCGGAGATAACAAAAATTCACAACTAAAATAGAAGTCAACGAAGAGTTTGATTAGTCCGTTTCGTTTATATTTTTTAGACTTTCAATGGTATCTATGATTCATTGATTACTCCTGCTATTATATAAATCGCTTTTTGCTCAATATCTTTTCCTGTTAAAAATTTTATGTGTTTAGTATAACAGTGAAATGGAAATATCTCTAGGAAATAAAAGATTAGTAACATAACGACAAAGACGGCGACGACAAAGCCTATTTTAAGACCAAGTTGAAGCAAGACAATCATTTAACCATTTGAGCACTGCGTTCCTGAACAATTTTAATCCTTCTTCCTGGGCTCCTGAGTCAAAATTCGCAAATAATTGGTATATAATGTTTCACGGTAGATATAAAAACAGTTACAAGTGTTTACCTACCGTTCAACCGCTGGTTGGGCATTAAGTCATTTTTCTTTACCACTGTTCAATCGGTGGCTGGGAATTAAGTCATCTTTCTCTATCACAAGTAAAGCGGTGGTCAGGGCTCAAAGGTATCTAAATGCCTTACAGGAAAGGCTTGAACAAATAAGACTGCAATCTAAGAAACGTGAGCCTAAATGAACTGATAAATTAAACTGTTCATTTTGCTCGGAAAGTAATTTTGTCTAAATGCAGATAAATATTTTATTTGTATAAATTATTAAAACGACTAAGAGAAGTAATCACGCATAAATTTACTAACTTAAGGTTATTTACCTCCCTTCTAACTACAGTTGGGACAGTATATGTATATATATATATATATATAAATAAATACATATTGATATTTATCATATAGTTTGATTGGTGATTCCCAACTCTGGGAAAATATCACTCTATACAGCAATTCACTCAAACTAGATTCTTCATATGTATTGCTTTGATTACAAGATTTTGGCCGATGAACACAACGAAGAAAATTGGACGGTACACTGACTAAAACGCTATGATAAAAACGAGAAAAATTATCTAGATGATCCATATATAATAGCAAATGATTTATTTAGATCTTTTCTCCTTTATGATTTTTAGGTTCCATCTTGTCTGATCTTGATCTTCCGGTGACATCAGAAACTTGGTTACGTCGGGCGACTCAACTTAGCCAGCGTAAAGATATAGAGGCGGCTACTCTATTCCAGAAAGTTCGCGTGCATCGCTTGTATGACCCTTTGACCAAGGGAACCAAAGTGCGCATCGATTTTACCGAATATGGACGCGCAGTCGTCGCTAAAGAAGATGTTAAAGCCGGTGATATTATATTCACTGATCAGCCGACTGTGTTTGCCCAGTTGTTACAGAATATGAATGTCTTGGCTTGTCCAAACTGCGCCAAATCTCTCATGTCACCACAAGACTACTTTGGAGCTCCTGTTATAAAAAAGAACAAAAATTTGAAAGGTAGGTCAAACGCTTTTTTAAACTTTGTTAAAAAAAAATACAGCAACAATAGTTCTTTATTTTGGATTTATATCTTTTACTGACAGGTAGATATTTATTGCAGATAAATTAAACCAATACTTACTTAAAAATCCAGGTGTTTGTAATCAGACCATTCGCAACCAGGATTTCTTGTATTTTTAAATCCCATAATCTAGGCCGACATCGTGACTGAGATAACTGCTTATTTCCTGCTGGTCAATCTTTCAGCCCAGAAGAAATAAAAAAAAACAGGATATTGAATACTGATTTTCAAGGTAGGTAGGCAGGCTTTTTTTATTTAGACAATTAGCACAATTACATTTTCCTATTCCTTACTGCATTATAATTGGCCTTGTGTCATACTAAACGAAAATTAGTTTATATCAATACCAAAAGTGTCATCGGGCGATAATGTCTATTTCGATTAATGACTGACTAGACAGGAGATTTCTCACAGTAGATTACCGTTACTTTCTGGTGTAGACTGGTTGCCAATCAAAGCCATAGGTTTTAGGTCTGTCCTACTATTAATCCCGTAGCTAGTGGGAGAAGAAATAGATTCATACCTTTCCTAAGGATATTTACACGTAAGTGAATGTAACGAACCCGACTGGAATTCGAACTCGGCAGCCATAAGGAGCTTATTTTAAATATTTGTGAAATTCCCAGTGGTGTTAGTGATCGGAGTTCAAGTTCGAAAATAAATAAATGAATAATTACAAATCACAGAGCCTTGAAAATCAGCATTTGTAATTATTCATTTATTTATTTGGAAGATTGTCACAACACGTTTTCCAGTCCGTGGGGACTTTTACGCTAACTCCTATTATAAATTTTAAAATTCACAAAGATTTTATGTTACTTTAAAGTAATCATAAATTGAAAATTTTTAAAATCACTTCCGGCCCAAAACTAAAAGGACCTCTTGTCCAACTTAAAAAAACAGCAATGATAACTTTGAAGAAATAATACTGAATTGATCAATTCATTCGATGGAATATCAAAATATCACTTTAACTCTAATTTGGGCTATAAGTTCAATTCCAGCCCAAAAAAAAAAATCGATTTGGACCGAAAGTCCGATTTGAACCGAAATTCCAATTTAGGCCAAAAACTGAGGAACTTTAAAACCAGGAACCCCTAACTTTAACTCTGATTCCTTGGAAATAAAGAAATAAAATTGATTTCCTCAATTCACAAAGTTTTGGAGATATTTTAAACTGAATTTAAATTATAAATTTTAAAATTCGCAAAGATTTTATGTTACTTTAAAGTAATTATAAATTGAAAACTTTTAAAATCACTAATTTTTTCAGTGATTTTAACATTTGAATTTTTAACTGTTCCCTTCTCATCCGGACACAAATCCCAATGCTGGATGTTCAAGGGCAAATTTTCAATCCCGAGATTATCTTGATTCCAAAAAGGTATAATATGTTTATGTAGAGCAAGTGTGGCCCAATTTAGAGGGGGTTTCAGACACACAGATGGGCAGACAGAATTTGCCGTTTATTTATTTAGATTATTAGATTTTCGTTCATCTTATTTTTGTTGCCGAAAGAAATCTCTAGTTGAATAATTAGAAATCAATCTAAACAAAGGCTGGAGACTTTAAGAGGTCTATTATAGAACTGGTCTTTAACTTTCTAAAATAAGGTCATCCAATTGGACGAGCCAATCTTTTGGATCTTAGATCAGAGGTCTCTAAAATTTTAAGTACGACAACAGCGTATATTCATATTATTTTTTTTTACAGGCCTAAGAAAACAAAACAAGTTTTGAAGTAGTGAACGAATGAAATTTCAGCGTCTCTTTCGTGTGCATGGGTAGTTACATCAACCTAAACATCACTTTAGTCCGCTGAAATATTTAAGTAAATGCTCTGTTTATAATAAACAGTATTAACGACATTTACCAGCCTAAATGTTCCGGAAATTTTTCCTAGAAAATATGCGTCCTCTGACAGGAATCGAACCTGTATCCTACACGGATATTTAACATTTACTTAAATATTTGTATCTATAAAAAAAACGTATAAACATAAAAAAAAAATATATATATATATATATATATATATATATATATATATATATATATATATATATATATATATATATATATATATATATATATATATATATATATATATATATATATGTGTGTGTGTATAAAGAGAGTTAATGAAATTATTTTTAATCTGGCATTTTATTACTTTAAACGCTATTTTAGTGTATAACCGTGTTTAAAATAAAATAAAAACAAATATATATATTTCAAACATAGTATCCACTAAAAAAGGTTGAATTAATATATATATATATATATATATATATATATATATATATATATATATATATATATAAAAAAAAAAAAGAAAGAACAGTAAGATATAAAATCCGGTGTTCTTATAGATATTTTTATTTTTACAAAATAGTGCTCAATGTAAATTTACAGAGCATTAATATTATAAATTAATTGATTTAAAATATGTTTTTTTTCGCTACACAGTTCCAACCATGTTTCAAAAAAATAGAAGAAAACCCCTGAATTTAATTTTGCAATTAAATTAAAAGCATTAGTTCCATTTCATCTTCAAGCGAATTTTGGAGTCTCCATGGTTGGAACTGTGTAGCGAAAAAACATATTTTAAATCAATTAATTTATAATATATATATATATATATATATATATATATATATATATATATATATATATATATATATATATGTGTGTGTGTGTGTGTGTGTGTGTGTGTGTGTGTGTGTGTGTGCAGAAAGAGAGATGAGTTAACACTTTCTAAACTTTCTTCTAACAAATATTTCAGTCCTCATGGTTATAAGACTGGCGGTACTTATTTTAACAATTTAGATGAAGAATTTTTACTAGTATTATTCTATTTTAAATTAATCTTTATTTTATTATTGTTGCTTTTTATCACAGCAGTGTTATCAATAAAGAGATGCAATAAAATTAGTAATCGAGTGATATTAATGGTTCTTACTCTACACAGCAAAAAAAAAAAAGAAAATATTACGTAATATTGTCCAAATCTGCTTGTAGCATTTATGAACATTTTTTTTTCACCTTAACAGCTGCGGTCGACAAATACTGGCCCCGGTTGAGTCGGGTTCCTTGTACTGGTTGCAATGAAGAGACTTACTGTTCGGAGCAATGTCGTGAAGAGGCATGGAATAACTACCATGAACCATTATGCCCATCCATCAACAGCAAAGTCCACTTATTGTACGACTTGTGCAAAAAGATTCGAGAAACCTCAAACAGCGACCAGTCTCTCTGGTGTGGCAGCTTCAGTCCGGTTATGATGGCGCGTATATGGGCGTCGATTGCTTGTCATGCAAAACGATTGGCTAAAGAAAGTGGTCATACTGTACCCACACAAGCACAATGGGCATTAGCGAAAACACCCTACAGACGGTATGTGCATTTGATATTTAACCTTCGTTTGACTAGAATATATATGATGTATGTCTAGGCGAATCGTACCGCCGTGTGTAGTCGTCAACAAACTAATCAAACTGACACTATTCTATTGTAAGCTCGATGTTAATTGGGTCCTTCACACGTGTTGTTTTAGGTCGTACCAAGTAAATAGCAATAAAACTTGAAGACATCAATGTTGAGAAGTTGTCATCAAACTCGCCTTTCAAACTCTTCAAACATTCCCAAATTTGTAGTCTTTTTCCGACAGAAGTAATGTCGCAAGCTTATCGCTACTATATCGGTATTTCTTTGATGAGCTCCAGCATTCAGTTCTATCAATTCAGTCATTTACAGCTACGATACGCCATGCCACTTCCACGTAGTCGAAACTCCCTCATTTCTGCCGTGTTTCAAAGGTAAGAAGAAAATTCCACTCAAACATTTTTCTTAAAAACTACAATTTGGTGGAATAGACGCCAACGGAGATGTGTCATTCCTTATCTATCCTCCCTATCCTCATAATCTTCACTTCCTCCCGGCTCCACTTTCTTTCATATCACACCGATAGAGATAAAGGGGAGCCATTATATTGTATTAATTGCTAGGTCTGCTGCTAGTAAAGACAATTTTTCTAGCCCCAATCTATCTTACATCTTTATAAATCTACTATTTGTCCATGCAGTTAATCTTGCTGTCACTTCTGGTTTGCTGCTTCTGCTATGTATTTGGAAATTCTTGACAAAATACAAAGAATCTGTAATGTTATCGGTCCTGACCTTGTATCTCGGCTTCAGTCATTTTCCTATTGACGCAATGTAGCTTCCCTGCCTTTTCTGTAAATATTTTAATGGCAATTATTCTAATGAGCTTTCCTATTTGTTACATTGTTTTACAAAATTTAAATGCAGTACTAGATTAGCAGTTATACCTCATCATTTTACAGCCGAAATAGCAAGATTTAACCATAAGTTCTATGCTAAAAGTTCCTTCTCTCGCACTACTTGCTTGTGGAATTCTCTTCCGGCTTCTTGCTATCCAGTCAATTTTGATCTTCAGAACTTAAATGCCAATCTTCTGTCTCCTAAATTCCTGTTCTTTCATTATTTTCTGTTCTTATTAATGCTTTTCTCAGATTCTTTCACATTCAGTTCGTTGTATCTTAGTAGCTTTAACGCATTACCTAGGTGTGAATTGATTTAAAAATTCTATCTATATTAAAGACACATGGCACAGTGGATAATGGCGTTGGTTAGATCCAGTGACAGGACTCAGAGTTGTGAGTTTAATACCTGGTTAAGGCAGAGGCGAATTAACAGGAGATAACTGATAACTGACATCCATTAGATATGGCACGTGGAACTAGAACAGTCTACTCCAGCGAGCGAGATAAAGGGTTCGGTTTTGACATTTCAACCATCTGAAGAAGCCCGGAGCGTAAAACGGCCGAAATGATGTGATAAATATGGCAACAAAGATGAGGACAATAGTCTGAATAACGTAAATAGTGATTTTAAAATACTGTTCAGACTATTTAGTTTTATCTATCTGTATTTCATAGGGAAAACACACACATGTGGGAGACAGACATACAGATAGAGACGAATAATCTGGCACGATTTTGTAACACGAATTCTGAAATTCCCGCGTTAAAATTAGCATTCGGAATCCTTACTTTTACCTAGGTCAGAAAACGGTCAGTTGAAGCCAATGAAGAATGCATAACGACCTCAACTACGAAAGTGAGGAATTTTGTTTTCGACAAAATTGGACATGTTCCCAGTTTCATTGTGATGTCAATTTTTACATTAAGAAAACGTTTCCAAACAAAAAGATTAGACTACTGAAAGTAGTGTTGACATCAGTATCGAATTCATTTGATTTAATTTCTTCATATTGGAATTACTTAAAGACAAACTTTATCTTACGACACTCAATTCTAAAATTACGTACTAAACTCAAAGAGAATTGTTGTACAAGAGATAAATTAATTGATATCTGCCACTTAACTCTCTTGACGATGCGAAGTATACCTTCAAGGGAAAAGGAGACTTTTAAGCACTTGACATAATTTAAATATAAACATCTAAGTTGATCACATTTATTCTGGATTGCGAAATATTTGATCAACTTTTAGGTTGCTATATACCAAAGGAGCGCGGATGGCGTTATATATTAGGAGAAATACTTTTGTGCTGACAAGATATCCCAAGGGAAATTTCATTATGTTTGGATCGGCTCACTAGATATCTTTCGAGAAAATTCTTTTCACCAACTTTTCTTACTCTGGCAGCAGATCAGATAATGGTTTTAAACAATTCTTAGACAGTGATGAAGGCAGTAAAATAAAAAAAACAATGATTGTTTTGAAAAGGCTGACGAGATATCTTACAATATATTTCTTTGTCCTCTGTCTCTTAGTAGTGAATATGATAATGGTTGAAGACAATTTATGGATAATGATCCAGAGAGTAAAAGCAATGATTGTCCTAGAACGTTTGACCAAGATATATCGATAGATAACAAATTTTTTGTCCTTTGTTTTCTTACTGTAGTAGTGAATATGATAATGGTCAAAGACAATTTATGGATAATGATGCAGTGAGTAAAAGCAATGATTATCCTAGAACGTTTGACAAGATATATCGATAGATAACAAATTTTTTGTCTTTTGTTTTCTTACTGTAGTAGTGAATATGATAATGGTCGAAGACATTTTGTAGATAATGATGCAGTGATTGAAAGTAATAATTGTCCTAGAACGGCTCTGGGGATATTTCACTGATATGACGTCACTCAAAAATATTCGGACATAAGTTTTTAACAAATTATGTAACCTTTTGGAAAAACCAGATATACCAAACAAAACCTTTATTTGTATAACGCTTTTAAATTTATTATTATTTTATATAATAAATTACTTAGAATGTTGTATTTTATTCCGTGTTTTCTTCAACCACTAATAATTATTTTGTCTCTTTTACTTTCTCCCAGATTCATAGCTTATGGTGTGCCGGGTATGGGCAAGTCATACGCTGGTATCTATCAAGTGATGCGTGATATCTTCAACGCGGCCCCTGAAGGAATGAGCTGTGACATATCTTTAAGAGATTTTGAGGGTCGCTATTTCCAGTTAGCCTGTAATGTCCAGTGCTTCTCGGATGGTTGCAACCCACTGCATTGTTTCCTGAAATCCATCGCTGACAAACAGCAGTATGCTCACCTTTCGAACCTGGTCGACCCGGACAACGTACCTGAAGCTAACTTTGCCGGTGTCTTTCCTGTCCAGGCTTGTTTCAACCACAGCTGTGCTAATACGGCTGAAGTCATGGATGGCGTGTGTAACGGTCGACCAGGTATTCAAGTTCGTGCCCGTATGGACGTGAAGGCCGGTAACGAAATTTTCACTACTTATATCGACACGTCAATTTTGAAGCGAGAGAGAAGGGCGTTGCTGTTCCGGGGTTATAACTTCTGGTGCAATTGTTTGCGTTGTCAATACGAAGGAGAAGGCCCCGAGATATGTGCCAACTGTGAGACGAAAGCTCCTGAAGGGAAGCAGTTCCCGGCTTGCGGCAAGTGTCGGAGAATTTGGTACTGTTCCCCTAAGTGCCAAAAGATCTCCTGGAAAGCCGGACACAAGATTATTTGCAGTATGACTCATTCAAAATTATATCTTAGCAGTTATTCATAGCACGCCTTGCATCGCAAACAGGATTTTATTTTAGTTTGTAGTTTTAAAAGAAAAAAAAATGATTGTTTTGCAACTGAAATTAGTAACGTTTTTTACGCTGTTGCTGTTGACGTTTGTTTTTATTTTTTCGTTTTTTTTTGTTTTTTTTTGTTGCATTTTTCTGTCGGCAAAAATTTAGCAGCAGCCGCAGCAAATGAATGAAGGAATGCCATTGCTTTTTTGGTTTTTTTTTTTCTTCTTTTTACAACTTGAAATTAATTTTTCAATTCTTTTTTTTTCTTTTTGGCTATAGCAGTTTCTTTTTATTCTATGAATGAAAAACTACGAATGCGCACTTGGGCTTTATTCAGTCATACTGCAGAATATACAAAATCGTCTGCATTATTTTTCTGTATTTTCATTGGTCTATGTTGAATTATCTCTACTCTCATTGGTTAAATTCTCAACAAACAGGAGAACTGATTAAATATAACTTTACTCCACTATTTCCTATCAGTTTCTTTTTCTCGTTATTTGCACAATTAACAACTGTATACTCGTCTTTCCAATTGTCAGCATCTACTGAGCTCAAAACACAAACGAAGTGCATTTATTGAGGTTCAAGCTCAACTGACATTCTTTTTCGGACCTTGAATCTTACAGCATTTCTTTACGATTCTTGTTTCTTTTACTATCTAATGTAATCTTATGACAAAAAATTATAAATAAATGTATATAAAAGAGCACGAACATAAAATATTTTAAAATATTCCTAAATCAGGAGAATATTTTCGTTTAATCCTTAAACCCTTTAAGAATTCCTTATAAGATAACACATATTTTGCTTTTGAGTTGTATTCTATGTAAACAAACCTCACTATGACAGTTGAAATACAAGCTGGTTTGGATATATAAGGATTTTTTAAAATCTTTTCACTGAATAGATGATATTGGTAATACGTGCCATATTCCACAGATACCACTTAGTTGTCTGTCGTCTTTCATGAGGTGACTGAGTACATTGTTAGTGTGATAAATAAAATTTTATTGGTATATTCTTACAAATTTAAGAAATTACAACATGCGGCCAATGAAAGCGATAGAAAAATTCTCACGATTTTTTCTTTTTTCAAATGTCATCTAACTAAATGGATGCACAATAAAAGCTTTAATTAGTCTTAAGTTGTTCGAATTCCTTAGATCAAGCATTGTCCTTATTCATTTTTGATCCAGTTTTTCTTTGATTTCATTTTCATTACTTTTCACCGCTTCCCACATATCGACCATAAATAAGCATCCTGGATCCAATGAGATTTAAATTTGTATCTTATATCTTTGGGAGCCTGTCTCAGGCGGACCATAACTTACTATTTGGCCATGGAGACTCATCAGAAGGGAAAATTTAAATTGAGCAATGCAGCGACATATATTCAATTTTCTGTGCACTATATTGTTTGTTTACCCTTAATAGTAGTAGTAGTAGTAAACGTAATAATCTCTTTAAAAGCCCAATCGATAAGGCATAGTTCGTGTCAGATAGGGTCCCAAGGGTAGTTGAAACAAAATAAAATCTTGTTAGAAGCTACTTCATTGCTTTCTGGTAAAGAATGCTTAATTGATTGTTGTAGAAACAACCTGAGCGCTGCGATGAAAGGCACCAAATTATGGTGAAAGAAAAATTAGTAAAAAAAACAAAACAAAAAAAAAACAATAAAATGTCTAACTTCTTCGTGTGTACAGAAAAATGATCAAACTTGCTCACAATGTCTGCAGTGTGACATCAGTATATTGCAACTTGATCTCCATTTACGTTAAATACATCTTCCAATATTATCTGCATATTTGCGGCAAAAACAACAAAGTATTGCATATAAAAAAAAAACCAGGTTAATTGCTTAAATAATGGTTTTCAAATGTAATGGCATGAAAATCTGCGAAAAAGCATGAATAAATACAGAGAAATCTTGTGTGTATTTGTTATAGGAGTTCGTATGCACACATAATGCTCCTTATAGGACATTAAAAAAAGAAAGCGAAGAGAAACTGGTTATAGAGAATTATTCCAGTATTGTATGAGATCGTTTTCAGTGTGATAATAAAGTTGGCGCAGGCTAATATTAAAGATTTACTGTTTCGAATGGTGTATTAATATTTACATATGTGGATATTACATATGTAAATATTAATATATATTAATGAAGTTAATATGCTATATTAAGGAAGAAAGTTTAGATAAAATGATTTTATATAGATAGTATTTCAAAAATCTTTCTTGTCAGGTTACATTACGATAAAGTTTGTAAAAATACTTATAAGCAACATTCATAAATGAATTCGTTTGCCCACTTAGAAAATGCATCTCTAATAATAATAATTCAAACACGAAATGCAATGATTTCATAAACGCTACTTTATCGCGCTGATTCACGTGATATTTATTTGGTAATAGTTCGGTTGAATTGCATATGCAACACAATAAAAACCACAATAAATCCGACAAATCCTTACCAATAATACAAAAATAATATATCATATAAACTTAGGTACTCCCCCCCCCACTAAAAAGCGGCACCTAATGTTTAAAAAAATGCATTTTAAATAAGTAAAATATTTCGTGAAGCTTTTATTTTAGTTTCGAAACTACTTTACTTTTGCCAGAGAAAATGAAATGTTAAGAAGGAAAGTTCTCTATCACCTTTTCCTGTGCTTGAATAGCCACTTTTCCCCTTTATTTATTTTTTTTTTTCAGTCATTAACAGTTGATAGTTTTATTCGGCGTGAAAAAGAATTATAGCGTTACTCTCTTTTATTCTTTCTCTCTTTAATTATCAGATTCCCTGAACGTTTTTGCTGTTTTTATTATTCTATGTTTGCATAATCTATATTTATATTCTATTTATAAAGCTAAGAAAGATATTAGTTCAAACGAATTAATAATTATATATATTCTTTTCGCAAAAAAATAATGTTGAAGGCAGTTTTTAAAAATTTATTATAGCAAAAATATTTTAGTAAGAAATAATTTATTAGAAAATAAATTCAGAATGCCCGTGAAAACAGCAAAAGCTTTGGGGAAATTTTGTTTATTCATTTATTGTCGTATGGCTGGAGATATTTTATTTATTTATTTTTTATTTTGCCATTTTCTTTCAATTACATTTTTTATTTATTTTTTACTTTTGTTCGATCTACTTCACAATTATCTTGTTATGCCCAGATTAGACATAGGACACTATCAGAAGAAACAATGTGGAGAGGTCTTGTAAAGAAAAATGTGGCATGAAATCCAACCTAGACTCATATACCCTCAGAGAAGGCGTGGCGGCTTTTTGCCTGGACGCGTTCCTCTTACCCCATCTTGTTTCCCACTGTACAAATCTTCTTAATTGTCAATATCTGTATCTTTTTCTTATCATGAAAGAAAAGACAGTAAGAGGACATTTAGAAATAAAGGTTAGCCTTTTGAACAAACTCTATTTTGCTGACCGAATTTCCGTGATGAAACTTTTTTTTCATTATCATTAATGTTAGACTAATTTGACTTTCATCTTCTTTTTGTTACTTTTTATTGTACGTTCAGATTGTTTTTACATTTCACGACCGTTTATTCAGCATCATGGGTCGGAAGTAAAAAAAAAAAAAGTAATTTCATGAGAAAGAAAAAGTTGTAAAAAGAAATTTAATAATAATGACAAAGATTCAATCCCAAATACTGAAGAGTTTACATTATTAGGTTTTAAGTTCTTTTTTCCTGACTTGCATCTGGTCATCAATATTGCATTTCAAAGGAATTTAATGATATTGATATTTGCTTAATAGCAAAACGGAGTCCTGTACAAATTCTATGCTAATATTTACTGTTTAATTTTGTACAAAGCCACAACAGCGGGGAACGATTTGAAGACCTATCACATGACACTATTAAGAATCTGTCAGATTAATTTGTTAACCATTGTTTAATGGATTAGAGAGTGAATCAAATCATGTCATACAGTAAATCGACTTTCAGATTTAACAAATTTGGAAGACAGCATATCAAGTGTCCATATATATATATATATATATATATATATATATATATATATATATATATATATATATATATATATTAAAACTTTAAACTATTTAATTATAATTAAAATGTATTACAACAGATCGAATTAGAAGTTAGTTCAAGTTCTACAGTAACTCGACTGGATTTGTCAAATTTGAAACACAACATCGATTTTTGATACACAGACACAGGCACACACACACACATATATATATAAACATAGATAAACTATTGTTATAATTAAGAAGTGTATTAACAATTTAATTATAACTATTTTCTAATCGAACAGACGGACTTTATCAGGGCAAATATCATTTGCCTTGATAAAATTCCTCAGAGGACAAAACACGTAGGCTAAGATAAGTTGTCCTTTTGTCTTTATTCATACTATTCTTTTATAGATATATTTTTTATTTATATCTTAATTTTTTACACAAATATATATATATATATATATATATATATATTTAGTTGGATTGATGTGAGTTTGTGACTCTGGGTTTCACGCTTTTGCGATCGTCAGACAAACTGATTAATTTTTAAAAATTTTGGATTTATGCAGATTGCGTGTATTGGTGTTATTATGGAAGTGTTAGCTCTATCCCTGATATTGAGCGCTTTCTAATAAGTACCGCGCATATAATATATAAATAATAATACATATAATGTATATATATATATATATATATATATATATATATATATATATATATATATATATATATATATATATATATATTTATATATTTATATACACACTTTCACACACACACTTTCACACTTTCACACACACACTTTCACACTTTCACACTTTCACACACACACACACGGACATGTGGACACCGACTTGAAACATAAAATTTAGGAGCTTCTCGAATTAAACAAGTCAATTTTTAAAAAAGTCCCCGGAAAATGTCTTTTTGAAT